AATGAGAAGCTAGATCTTGGAAATTCACTGATGTGTCCTGAGCACACAGAAGATTGCAGCCCTAGTCTGACTCTACTTGCATATCCTTACTGTGTACTAGACTACCAGTTAGAAAGAAAAACAAAACAAAACAAAAAAGAAAAAAAAAAAAACAAGGAAAAGGGTGAGAGAGGTGAGGAAAATAGATTAATAGGAAGCCTAGAGTACCATCCACTTTTTCAGCCATGAGTTGAAACACCTATCCATAAGGATAACATATCACATTTCACGCAAGACTGTAATGACAAAACACGCCATCATTCTCACCACTGGTGCTGAGTTAACAGTAGTTAACATCATTAACAGTAGTTCAGAAGATGTTATAAACAGAGCTTAGTTAATGTATCTGGTTAAACCCTCACCACCATGCTATTGGCTGGGCATTAAAACTTGGAGATAAGTTCCAGACAATCCCAGAACGACACAGAGATAAAGGAGTGTGCAAAATGTCAGGGCCAGAAATAACAAAAGCTCATCACTGTTTATGTTCATGTCCCCAGAAACTCACCTCTATTTAAAAACCCATAAAATGGCTCTCAGGTTAGATATTACGGTTCACACTCTGCCGAATGAGATACCCAAGTGGTTCTATAATTACAAAGCAGTTACTGCCCTGTAACTACACAGACCGTAGATCCCAAGTGTCCCCCCATGAGCAACAGCAAAGCTTTCCGAAAGACCTTGTATCTCTCTGAGGCCCTGCTCCCTGTTTCACTATCAGGATACTTGGTCCTGTCTCTCCTAAGTCGTGAGCTTGGGAAGGGGGATGGGGTCAGCCTTCCCTGTGTTGCTAAGGCCACTTCTTCATGGCCCCACTGAATCAAAGAGAGCCCACTGAAGGCCACTGCCGCATGCCACAGTGTCTGACACTTCCCGTTATCCCAGCACGTGGTGATTCCCAGGAACTCAGGGCAGATTTAATCACAGCAGAAGATGCGTCATCCTTAGTTTCTTATTACAGACTTGTAATATTTGAAGGAAAGCAATTAGTTTGCTGGGTTTTAATATCAGACTGCTTAATATAAAAAGGGTTTTCTTTTGCTGCTTCAAAGCACTGTATCACTAAAATATACACTTTCTTTTATTCAACCCAATCTAAATAAACACGATGTTGGCTGCGTAACTCTACTCTCTCCAGCAGCAGGATCTTTCAGGTCAATTTCTTGGTGTTTATTTCATCTGTATGTGCAGTGCAAATCTGGTCCAGAGATTGCTTTCTCCTCTCTCTCTCTCTTCTTTCTTCTGATTTATTTCTTACATGAAAAAGAGACAGAGAGACTGGGAGAAAGAGCGAGAGATAGGTTCCTCCAACAGAGTCTTTATGCCATGATCCACCCGCAGCCTCAGCCAGTGTGGGTCATAGGCATGGACATGTGTCTGGTGTATACAGGAAATCCTTGGGACATAAATCCAGGATTTTTCTCTATGGGTGCAGTTGTGTTACCACCATGACACCATTAGGCCCGTGGTCCAGAAGTTTAAGTGAAAAAAAAATATCACGGGGAAGCGTGAATGTGATCAATGAGCCAGGCCTTTCAACGACCCTATGATGTAGGAAAGAAGTCTTCTCAGACACACTGCGGTAGAGGTGAGTGGATGAACAAGAAAGAAAGGGACTCTGCACAGGGCGTTACTGATGTGAGAGTCAATGGAATCTGGCCCCCCAGACTGGAGAGTCACAGCCATGTTTCCCACGGGTGTGTGCTGGCCCTGCAGAGCAGACACCACTCAGCTGGCAGCTCAGAATGCCGAACAGATCCGAGGAAGGAGAAACTAGAGTCAGCAACTGGCAGAAGCCCCTCCGAACTGTCACATCCTGAACTGAGGTACCACCTCTTCTTGGAGTGCCACATCCCAAAGCTTCCCAGATAAAAACTCCCTTGGTCTCCTCTAGGAATCAGCATTTCCAGAAAGACTCAAGGGGCAACGCAGCAAGTTTGAAGACTTGCCGTCATTTGACCTGCCACAGGCTCTAACTCTCCTGCATGGACACTCTGGTCCATTACCTATGTTTGTCTTGCTGTTCCCTCTTTCTGGAAGCCTCCTGTTTTCCTCAGTTTTAGATGATTCTTAATCATCCTTTCAAAGTCAGTTCAAACTAGGTGTCAACTCCTTGAAGCTTCCATGACCACACAGCTGCCCCAACCTGATTTAGAAATCCTTTGATTCCATCTCAAACCTTTAATGCCATTCAGATCACTTTACTCGGCTCACTAAAAAGAGCTGAGTCTCCCTGTTAGGAAAGATGTCTTATTTAAGTTTTTTGGCTCTACCCTGACTGGATCTTTACAAAATAAGGCCATTAGGAGCATGTGTTTGCACAACCACCACATGCAGCAATTTGCTCACCTGTAAAACAGTGTGATAATAGTCCATACCTGATAGGGTCGTTATGAAGGTAAAACCAGAAAACGAATGGAAAATTCTTAGAAAAGCCACGAGCTCTTATTGTTAAGTATTTGTGGACTTCATCAATGTAATCTGGAGTAAGTCACTTACTTCAGACATCATTTCTTTTTCTGGAAAACACAGATCATTTTCTTTCTTCACAGAATGGTAGTAAGAATCAAACCGGGGCTGGCCCTGTGGTGCAGCGGTAATACACTGCTTAATTGAAGCTGGATCCCACATGGTGACCATGGTTCGGATCCTTGGCCTGGCCTGTCTGAAACATACCCTACACGTGCCCAAGTGCCCGAGATCCAATGGGCTAAGGGACTGGAGGAAGAAGAGCGTGGTATGACCAGACCCCGTGGAGTGTCCTCTTCTCTGCTCTCTCACATCCATCCACCCACACATGCTCCATCGTGAGTAAAGGAAACGTTTTTAAAAGAATCGAACGAGGTAACACCGTTGATAAAAGTACATTGAAATGTTGTAACGCACTATTTTAAAGCTGGCATTTTAAATAGTTAATAACAATGGCATTATTATTATTACCTAATAAATTACATAGGAGTTCTAGGACAGAACAAAGATTGTACAGAGTCTTCAGTAACTAATGCAAGGATTGCCAAGGGCCTTACCCAAGCCTTGGGCTTCTCTCTTAACCTTCCCACATGGCTATAAAGGAAAGCAGGTCCCAAAGGTCTAGCAAAATTGGGATGCTAGCCATACACATAGAATAGTAGTGTCCATATCACCTGGAACATCCGGGGAATTTAGGAAGTCCATTGAAGCTAGCCGATTCTAATCCTATTACAAAATGTAGGAACCCCGAGGGCCAGAGAGATGTTCTGAAGTCACTTATTCTCATTCTCTCAGTTATTGACGAGGCAAACAATGCCTATGAATACTACCCAACCACATCTCAAGAGTGATAAAGGACAAGCCTCCTAATTTGTAGCTTGTAGGTTTAAATAAACTGACATCATGTTCCCACAACCACTACACTTAGGGTAACCTTTAGAAACGGGGTTGGGTTCGAATCCCAGTGTTACCATTCGCTGTGACTTTAAGGGAGCTATTGAACTGATCCCAGTCAGTTTCTTCATTCATAAAATAAGGATCACAGGGTTTCTTTTACAAGTCTCTGTGTGATCACAAGCGATGAGGGTAAATTGGTTAGTAAATCTGTGCCTGGCACCTGCTCCGCCCCTTCTTAACTTGGTACAGTAAACAGGGTCATGTTTTTAAAAACTAAATCGTGCGTAGAGAACAAAAATCGTATTGCAAAACATCTCTTTTGACCAAAGCAACTCAGAGAGTTGACATTCGTGAAATTTCCTTCTGGTATTGAAACGGTTAAAAAATATCCCTCTGTTCTGAAGGCGGGCTGTGCTGGCGACCCCACTTCCCCCCGGATCTGCGTGGAGGCGGTCACGTCCAGCCGGCTGCGTAGGGCGGCAGTGTACAGCACAGTGCGGTACTATACCACATGTTTGCTTTCGCGCCTCTGCGGCGCTCCCCCCAGGTAGCGCCAGGCTGCCGATTCCAGCTGCTGCTCTTACTCTTCCTTCTGTCCTCTGCCCAAGGGCTGCTGCAAAGACGCCTCCCGTGTGAGGACAGCTCTTTATCCACACCTGATCCAAACTGCTCCAGTCGGACCTGGGTTGTCTCCCTCTTGGGGGTCAGAGTCCTCCCGTCTGCCTACCTGACAGCCACCTCCCCTGGCCAGCGTCCATCGTGCCCCTTAGCCGCGCACCTAGCCGCCAGCATCTGGCTTTCTGATAGTAAGCTTAGAAAAGAAGGGAGCCTGGACCAAGTGCTACAGGTGGGACGGGCAGCCAGCCACATTGATCCCCTGGTTCTCCCAGCAGCAAACACGGGGACTCGGCCCAGGGAGGACGTTCCTCGGGGGACAAAAGTAGCGTCTGTCTTCCCGAGGGCTGCTGGGTTGAGCCCTAGGACAGAACCCCAAGGCCCTGGGCGCTGTTTCCATCTTCCGCGGGGAACGCGCTCCAAAGGGGTTCACAGGCTGGGAGAGTCTGGAGCGCTGGGGGAGACCCAACCTGGTTGTGAAGACACCACGGCCTCGCCCCTTACTCCAACTAACCTCCACCTCTGGGTCCACGCCCAACCTGAAAGAACGGGGAGCCACTTTTCCAGCCTCTGCGGCAGGCGCAGTAGCTGGGAGCCTGGAGGTCAGAGCGACGCACCCTCGCCGCCAAGAACCCGCTCGCTAGTGCAGTTCCTTTCTACAGGCCGGTCTGGAGGGGCAGAAGGCGACAGGCACCTATCACCTAGCTCCAGGGCTAGAGCTCCGAGGTGAGGAAAGAGGAATCCTCGAGATTGAAAGGGAGAGAGTCGAAAGCCCTCTTGAGGGGTCTCCCCAAGCTCCTGCACACCACCCATACCAACTCACGCGGGCTGGTGGCCCGTCTTTGCACCCAGGCGCACACAACCCGGCGCGTCCTGCCCCCCGCTCCGCCGCTGGTGGCGAGGGGGTGTGCGCGCTGTGTGCCCGACTGCCCTCGGCGCTCCCCTGCCCGGCGGCTGCTCGGGGCGCCGTCCGCGCTCACCAGATGGCCATCCTGCTCTTGGGGTAGTCCAGCCGCTCCAGGCAGCCGAGAAAGTGAGGCAGCGCGTGCGCCGCGTTGCGGGCCAGCATGGCCACGAGCACCGTGGGTCTCTGCAGCGGCGACTCCGGGAAAACCACCGCTTCCTCTTCGTCGTCCTCCGAGTCCGGCTCGGCTGCAAAGCGCGCCC